CCTGTTGATTGGTTTATCGGCAATTGCCAACCACTGCTTGTGTGCTGGGCAGCATCGTGCCACGGTAGTGCACAACAAATACCTTTCGGTTACAGAACTTGCTTCGTTTGTCGTTTAACAGAGTAAGATACTCGGCAAAAAGAGAAAAAATACAGGAGGGAAAGGATCCAGACTGTAAAGATTGAATATTTATTTGTATATTTTTACGTATATTTACTTAAAACGATTGAAAAAGCGTTTGACACTTCGCCGGTTAACAACAGTTTGCAACAGTTTTCTTAGATTTTTCGAACGGCCCCGACCACTAAATGCGTGGAGTCGTAAGAACTGTTGGTTTTGCTAATCTAACCGTCTGTTTCCCTCTTATACCAAGCCATTTTCTTTCTCGCTACATAGACTGTTGACCGAAAAACGCGTTGTCTTGTCGCCAGGTATTGACCATTTTTCTCATTCATTCGCTACCGGCGATTTCTACACCCCGTTAGCACGCCATCGCACTTTTTCGCCGTGCAAGGGTGCTTGCTTGCACACAATATTACGTCAGCCGTGAATAGAACGGATGAAAACGCAAACAGCACGTATACAGGTTCAAACCGAACTTCATAGACGCCTCATGCCGTAGAACAGTTTTTGTTATTGACAGGTCTTCATCGTTACCTTAGCAACCGAGGATAATGCCCACTCTTTACTGCAGTTCACCATGTCATGCCATCCGTGATATCGGTGGCTGTCCTCTCTTTCGATGGCGCCCAAGTCTTTCTTCTGTGTAGGGTCTGGCGTTAGTAGCTGTTCTTGGTAATATGGTGTCCTTTGCACGGCGTTAGTTTAGTGTAGAACTGGCAACAGCTGCATCATGACGTTTGCGTGACAGATCGAATCAGACGACAGAATGTAATGCCGTCATACATGAAATTTACTCATGCAGCTCGGAGCATTCGGTTGGGATAAATGAAACCGAAGTTTGCAACAGTTGGGATGTTGGCCTTCGTTACAGTTGCAGGAGGAGCGCCACTTGTGTCTCTCTTCTTTCGTTGATATGCTATACTACTTTCGGTCAGGTTTGCTTTGCCTGTGAAGACGGTGTCTCCGGCTGCACGGAAAACAGCATGAACTCTCGTCTCGTTTAAGTCCGCGCGTTTGATTAGGACATAAGCAAACTGCAAATTGCAAACCAGCACGGAATTACTGGGCCGTCGCCCAGAGTAACACCCGAAGAAAACACGTTTGAATTTTTGCACTACGTCTCTACCCTTCGAGCAGAGATTGATGGACAATACATGCTATGTTGGAATGATACAGGATTGAGGATAACATAAAATTAACTGACATCCTTCGCAACGTGAATGGTGGAAATCTGAGAAATTCGGTCTTTTGATGCTGTACGTCATGTTTTCTCTCTGTGCAGATGACATTTGTCAAATACATTGACTGCTGACTGAACTCTGGAACACGTCCGTAACTCGTCGTTGTGTTTATTGGGCATTAACGCCTAATACGCAAGCAGTTGTCGAAGTCCTGTTCGACGACCTAATGAATTTGTGAATAAACGGCTGGGTAATAAAGTAGATGACAGACAGCACGAACGTGCCGTCCCGTCGGTCGTAGTTGTCTTTCAGTGCGACAGACATTGCGACGACACTCATTCATGAAATGGACGGAAGAGGCACACGCGCTGTTGTGCATGTTGCGGGTGCAGGCGCGCAAGCATTGCTATACAGCGTCGGTTTATGTTGTCGTTTAGTGGGTCGCGTCAGTCAAGTGATTGACCGTAACCGACGGATATGACAGCCTCTGCGTAATGCGACGAATCTTCATTGTAACATGGAAGACGGAGGCGCCTTATTCGATGGCGAAAGTAGGCCTTGCAAACAAATAGGACCGTATAACACGCGCACAGCTGGCCAAAAGGTTTTGCTGTATTATCCCGGTCATAGCAGACCTAATGGCGCAATGGCGTGATCCTCTTGAGAACTGTGTGATTCGCGCTTGTCGCACCCCTTCGTTTGGATATGGCGCGGTCGCACGGTCATTGGGCGTTGTTCGGGCTTGACGTGGTTCGAATTAAACGAACAGTGGTGAGGTGAATAAGGCAAAATCCGTAAGCGACGTCTGCACGT